CTCAGGAAGGGAGGCCTCTCCCGGCTCCAGCAGAGTTCCTCCCAGCCCGAGCGGAGACCCGTCTGGCGGGGGCGTCCCGGGGGTGTCTTGACCCTCCCCGCCCACTCGGGCTTTGCTGTCGGGCCAGGTCCGCCCACCCCCAGCAGCCGTTTGCGGGCATCCCGCCAGGGGGCGCTCAAGGGGGACCGGAGGGGCGGGGGGGCCACAGGCACCCCAACTGGGGCAGGTCCCCGAAAGAAGAGCCAGAGGCAAGAGGTGCGCGCGGGGGGGGGAGAGAGTCAGGCAGCCCAAAGACAGGGGAGCCCGTCGCCTGCAGAGCAAGAGGAGGGGTCGGGGGTCCCCTTCCGTGCTGGCCCTTTCCCACCTGCAGCCCCGCAGGCTGGAGTTCTACAAACACCCACACACATACACACCACACACAGGCACACGCAGAGGGAGGGAGAGAAAGCTCCCCTTTACTGTGACCCACTCAAGGGGGGGGAATCATTCTGGATTTGGTTTCTCATCCTTTTGGCATCTTCATTCTCATTTAAATCCCTTTCCCGGGCAGGCTGTTTTTTCAACTTTGCTCCTTCCTTCTCCATCATTCCATTTTGGTCTTTTACTGAATTATTGGGTTCTTTTGATATTGGTTTGTTTGTTTGTTTGTTTACTTACTTACTACTTACTTACTCTCTTTCCCCAGATTTGGTGGTTTTCATGAATCGTCCCCCAATTCCTCCCAGTCTGTGCGAGGCCCCTTTGATGCAGGACAAGGGCACAGCTCAGCCCCAGAAGGTTGGGGGAGAAGCCAGGATCACCCCAGACCTCTTGCAGAGTCTCTTCCCCAAAATTGTAAGAGGCAAAAGCCATGGGCCTTTCAGCCCAGGGAAGATAACAGAGCTGGAAGGGATCCTGGAGGTCTTCTAGTCCAGCCCCCTGCTCAGGCAGGATACTCCGGACCATCCCAGAGAAATGCCTGTCCAGTCTTTTCTTAGCCCTTCCATTTCACTCCTGGCTCAGTTGCCATTTTAATGCTTCAGCTGAAGGTTAATTGATCATGATTTCTCACATGTTGCTTGCATGTACACAGAGAGCTTACACACCGGAGACAAATTCCTTGTGTGTCCAATCACGCTTGGCCAGTACAGAATTCTAATTTCCACTCAGAGCTTTGCAATATTCGCTTTAAGATCTACTTCCTCCACCGATTCTCAGCCCAAGGATACTTATTGCTTCTAGACAACTTTTGGGTACCGAATTCTTCCCAGCTCCCTACCTAGGCAGTGATGGAGAAAGGTAAGGGGCCATCTTTGGGTGCTGCATTTCTGCTGGATCATGAGAGCTAGAAACTTTAAACAGTGGTAGAAAAACAAACCAGGCTCCCCAAGGTCTGTGAGTTGCCAGCAGTTTATTGCTGGATAAAGCTGATGAAGACGGGTACATTTAAATTTGGCTGCTCCGGTTTTGAAATGAAGATAACTTGGAGGTGTTTTGGTCCAGAAGTAGAACAAATAGATGCATTTCTGTACACTGGTAGAACGGGCAGATGAGGAAACAGAGGAAGTTTGATATGTGCCGATTTTGAGAGTAAGGTAACATGTGGACTGTTGCATTGATTGATTGATTGATTGATTGAGCAGCACCAGGCCAGAGTTTGGCCTTGGCCAGCAAAAGCTTCCTCCTCTTCCTCCATCTCCTCCTCCTCTTCCTCTTCCTCTTCTTCCTCTTCTTCTCCTCCTCTTCCTCTTCCTCCTCCTCCTCCTCCTCTTCCTCTTCTTCTCCTCCTCCTCCTCCTCCTCCTCCTCTTCTTCTTCTTCTTCTTCTTCTTCTTCTCCTCCTCCTCCTCCTCCTCCTCCCTGCCCCCTTCAACCTCAGCCTCTGTGCAGTGTTGACACAGGGGATGCCTAGAAGCTGCTGGAGCCCTTAATGAAGATGGATGGAGCAGTCAGCTTCCTCCTCCTGCCCCCCCCATCCCCCTTGCCTTGTAGGGGGGGGCGCCTCTGCCTGGCCCTTGCCAGGTTCCTCCTGCAGCCACCCAGAGGCCTGGGCAGGTGGGAGGTCACAGAGAAGAATCCCCAGAAAGGCTCCCATCTCTTGTCGGCCTGCCCAGGGCCAAAACGCAGCAGCAGTTGGACTGAATGGCCCTTCCCCTCCGGCTGCCAACAGGAAAAGCGGAAGGAGGAAGCCGGCTGACCATAGGGATGATCAAGAAAGGCAAGATGGCGGCTGCAGCCACGCAGAGCAGCACCCATAAAAACCAGCAGAGCTTTGTCTGCACCTGCCAGCCACCATCTTGCCCTTCTCGGCCATGCCTTGCAAACACAGCCAGGTCAGGCCTGGGGCAGGGAAGCAGGTTTCCTTGGGAAAGCAGGTAGATGCAAAGGTTCCTAAGGGACTGGTCGTAAATCGAGGGCAACCTGCTGGGAGACTCCCACAAGAGTCCACCAAGTGCCAAGATCAACCCTTCTGCCCGCCTTCTCCTGCTCTGCTCCCCCAGAGTCCCAGCTGACCGCCCAAGGACCTTCCTCGCCTGCTGCGGCCGTAACCCTGAACCGGAACTGAAGGACCTGGGGAGCCCAGAGTCCAGTTCTGCTGGTTCCTGGGCTGCAGCTGCTCAAGTAGCCAAAGAAGGCCACCATTTCCTCCCCTTGAAAAGGAGGAGGCCCACGGGATGCCAACGGCCGAAGACGTTGTGTGTGTCCAGAGTTGCAAGCGCACTTGCCTCCAAATGGAGACAGTGGGCCCACCGGGGGTCACTTGTGCCCCTCTTTGTCACGGGTGACGTTGAGCGATGGTCCCGCACAGGTCCTTCCCCTTAAGTCTGCCCTGTCAGCAGAGAGACGGATGGGCTCCTCGCAGGGGACGGGAGGCCGGCCATTTGTCATCCGTGGCTTGGCTGAACATTTGGGAAGGCAATGCGAGCTCAGCCCCTGCCCCTTGCCAACCGGGGTCTCCTGGCACGGCAGCCATCCTGCAGGGAGGGGGCAGAGAGGGAGGGTGATTTACGGCCGGCTCCTCCTAATTGCATTCCAGCCGGCAGGAAAATGGATGGACTCGTCTGCCTGATGGATGGCCCGCCCGGACCTTCATTCGGTTAGCTGGCCTCACGCGGGCCTAATGCGGGCACGGTGGGAAGGAAGATGGAGAGGCTGCTGCAGGAGGAGACCCTGCGGCCATCCCCCGGCCTTTCCAGCTTTGCAGACCGACAGGGGGGGTGAGGAAATGGTTCCGTGTGTGAGCATCAGGTGCGCACAGCTCCATGCATGAGCGACAAACACTCAGGGCCATGTGTGAAGTTCCCTTTGTGCCTGCTGCTCTCACAAATGGAGCATCACACACACGCCCAAATCCCCATCGCTGGCACAAGTGGAGCTGCATGCGAAGCCGCCCTCCCCTTGCACAGCCCAGTTACGAATGGGCTGCAGTCCACTCCTGGGGATTGGGGACCCCTGGTGTAGACCAGCCGGAAAAGTTAGGTGGACTGCCAGGGAGCTGTTGGTGCAGAAGCCGCCTGGAAGGCCAAGAAAAGGACACCTGCTCGGCGGGTCTAGGACTTCTTGGCTGGGAGGAGAGCCCTGAGCTGCTGGTCCAAGGCCCCCCCCACCCGAGCCCAGCTCAGGAGATTCAGAGGGAAATCAGTGGAGACTATCATCCGGGTGCTTTTCCAAAAGACAACTGGACTGTTTTGTTTTTCCTTGAAAATGTTTCACTTCTCATCCAAGGAGGAGGGAGGAGGACGACTGTGGGGTCCCTGGTGCTCTCAGAGCTGAGCTGGTTGTTTTCTTGCAGACGGTTCATGACCCAACTACGTAACATCATCAGTGCTAGAAAGGAGGAGGAGGGGGGGGAGGAGAAGGAGGAAGAAGAGGACGACTGTGGAGTCCTTGATGCTCTCTGAGCTGGGTGGTTTTCTTGCAGACGTTTCATGACCCAACTAGGTAACACCATCAGTGCTAGAAGGGAGTGAGGTTGGCAGAGAGGAGGAGGAGGAGGAGGAGGACCACCATCACCACCCTGGGGTGCTCAGTGCTCTTTGTTTTCTTGCAGATGTTTCATTACCCGAACTAAATAACATCTTCAGGGCCAGCAAGGAAAGGGGGCTGCCCTCCATTCCTGACTAGCACTGATGATGCTCCTTAGTCGAGTCACGAAACATCTGCAAGAAATCAGTCAAGCTCAGAGAGCGCCCAGGACCCCTCAGCTTCCGATTGTCCAGGTGATCCTGAAAGGCGGAAAGCAAGTAGCTAAGAACGAAGCGGGAGATTAAAAGCTGGCCTGGGCTCCATTTTCTCCTCAGAGCAAAAGGGAGCTCAGCTCGGCTCTCCCAGCCTTCGAAGGCAGCCGCCCCTGTCCTCAAAGCCTTTAGGGGTGGGAGGCAAGGATCAGAAAGTGGTTGAGGGCCGCGTGTTTTCAATTGTCAGGGTGGACCAAAAGGGAAGGCCTTTAAGCAAGGGAATTGCAGGATCCAAAATCGGCCACTGTTTGCAACTGGGGTGGGGGTGGAGGGGTCCCCCAATACTTTCGTATCTCTGCAATGTTTGTGGATAATGGTTAGTTCAGTGGTTCTCAACCTTTTTAATGCCGTGACCCCCCAACCGGTTATAAGTCGAGGACTACTCAACCGGTCGTAAGTCGAGGACTACTCAACGGGTGCAGCACCGTTTGCAGACTGAGACTTTTGGCGGGCTCAGCAGGGCAGAGACAGCCTGGACAATTCCTATTGGCTTTTGAAAGCCAATAGAATTAGACTCTGTTCAAGAGAGTCTATTCTATTGGCTTTCAAAAGCCAATAGAATCAAAGGGAGTAGCACAGCTAAGGAAAAGGGGGAAAAAAATGGCGGACTGCGTTGTTTGGCGACCCCCGTGAAATGGTCGTTTGACCCCAAATGGGGTCCCGACACACAGGTTGAGAACCGCTGGTTTAGTTACACACACACCCGTGGCATTATTCACAACAAGCACCTTGAAGGATTCATTGCTCTCTACAGAGAACGCAAAGGATGAGGAAGCCCAGTGTGTACATTCATACAGCTTTAATAAAAGGTACAACAGGAGAATATATGTACAGTCCAAATCCACATGCTACTACTGAACGCAGTTTAACTGGTAAACCCACACCGTCCCATTTTATCTGCTGAATCCAACAGCTGCGTTGCCCGGCCAGAGGAAGTCCCTTATGCGAATCCCAAGTTTTCCATTTTGTGCAAAAAACAACAAATAAAAAACACCTCTACTCCCCACCTTAAGTTTTAGAAATATCCCTCCAAAGTAATTATCCTACGTGTTTATTTATGCATGCGCAGATAGACCTGCGCGTGAGCAATTCATAAAGGACTGGTTGAGAAGCTTGTATGTTGTGAGGCATTGTGGTGGAAGCAAAGGGGCCGCTTTTCAATGCATTCTCAGTTTGGGGACAATTAAGCCACAGCATCCACCCTCCTTGGCCACCACCAATTCCAAAGGTAAATTTGATTCCAGGGCACCCCAAAACGTGGGGTTGAGAAAACTACTCAGAAGAGAGAACCGAGATGGAAAAATGTCCGCAATCCTGGCAAAACGGTTGGCGAGCTGCCCTGGATCCTGTGCCAGAAGGGAGCGTCGGCCAACTCCGCGTGGGCTGCCAGATCCCGTCTTGACACTGGAGCACCTGGCCTCCCCTCCAGAACAGACCGGTAGGCTTGCTCAGCTCCACCCAAAACTATGAGATTAAAAAAGCAGAGATTGGGGCCAACATGTCCTATGATGGTGGGGACAAAAGGTGGTTTGAGAATTCAAGGAAGGAGACATCAGGAAAACAGGGGAGACCTCTTCTCTTTAGACCAGGGGTCCCCAACTTTGGCCACTTTAAGACCTGTGGGCTTCAACTCCCAGAATTCCTCAGCCAGGCATGAATTCTGGGAGTTGAAGTCCGCAGGTCTTAAAGTTGCCAAGGTTGGGGAGCCCTGCTTTGGATGAGGGGGGATATTTCAGCCAAGGGCAAAACTAACCATATCCTGGCTCTGAACTCCGAGGGGACAAGAAAGGTGGGGAATTGGGCCCCTCTTTGTACAGAGAAGTAGGAGAGACGCCCCCCCCCACCTCCCAGGGACCAGACCCTTCTCAGGGGACATCCCAAGAAGCACCGATGGTCTTTGTCTCCCTGGTGAGGTTCGTATCTAGGCAAGGAGAGGAAAAGGCACCACCAGCTGGGAGTTTACTGCAAGTCCTTAGAACTGGCAGATGTCAGGACCCAACTGTCAAGAACCCACTGGGGATCAACCTGATCAACCCCTCCAGTCCAGATTCTGCTCAGATGGCTAAGACGGTTCCTCCAAGCTCCCCAAGGGAGGACCTCTCCTTCAGCATCGGTCTGTCCTTGGTTGAGGTGAGGTATTTTGCCCCGTTCCTTTCACACAAAATTTAAAACAAGAGCTCTCTCTCTCTCTCTCTCCTCCCCCCCCCCCAAATGGTTTGCATTCTTTGGAAGGTCTTCAGGATGATGAAGTTGCTTCAGGTGCGCTTTGACCAGCGTACGTGGAAGAGCCGTTTGCAGTGGGACCCTCTCAAAATGGAGAGGGATGTGGGCCCTACAGCCACTCGCCCAGGTGCCGGAAGGCTGGCCCTGTGGGTGGGGGTCGGGTGGGCTTGTTTGGGCTGCTGCGGTTGGCTCCATTGGCCAACCTCTGGGGCACTGCAGAAGTGGACAAGATCCAGGCTGGAGGCGATGCCAGACCTTCTCACCTCCCCTTGTCCGTGGCTGGATAAGGGCCAACCAGACGGGGGGTCTTTGGGCCCAGAGTCCAGCACGGATCTTGAACAGGATCCTTCGAGGGAGGGCAGCTGTGGCAAAGGCCGATCTCCACCCAGGTCTTGGTCCCCAGGTCAAGTGGCCGTGCTCTCCTTGCCCGGAACCAGCAGACCAGCCGATGTTCAGAGGTGAGGTCGCTGCAAACAGGGTCCCCGCCCCTCTCAGTGGCGGGATCGGCCTCATCGGGGCCAAGTGACCCACAAGGCAGGCTGGATTTGAAGGGAGGAAGAAGACGGATGACGGGGTCCCTCCGGGATCGCCCCGATCAGCTCTAGAAGCCGATGAAGCCTTGGACAGCTCCGACTGATCCAGGGATGGGAAGACGCTGGGCCGGCCTTGGGGGCTTTGCCTGCTCTGGATAGGAAGCTGGGCTCCACAGACCTCCAGGGCTCCCTCTAGAGTCAGGGATGTCAAACTGCCGGCCCACGGGCCAGTTGCATCATGTGGAGGCCGTACCCGCCCCAGCTCCGGAAGTGTAAAAAAGCTGTGATATGTCACATGTTGCAAGTGTAACACCCATGCTCTGGGTTCTCCCAACGGCCGGCCAGCCATGTGGCCAGAGTGAAACAGAAGGAGGGACTCCCTTCTCTCACGGGTCAGGAGAAGACGGCCCTGCTCTGCTCCTCCCTAAGATCTCTCAGGGCGCGACAGAGGAAGGGCAACCGGAAGGACCCAGCCAAGCCCCACAAGAGGTGGGAAACTCAAGGAGACTAGAGGAACTCAACAGGGCCGGCCTGCTTCCTCTCCCCTCCCTTTAGTGGAGAGTTGCACACTCGCCTCAAAATGTCCGTCTCAGGACCTGTGCAATGCGGGGGGGGGGTCTTCTATGGCTCAACAGCGAAGACAGCCCCGAAGGCAAGATGGCGGAGGGCCCTTGGCTGGGGAGGGGCCCCCTTTGTCTGCTTGGTCCACAGACATTTCAGCGAGAAGCGGGGGGTGCCGAGGCTCCTGTAAGGCACTTGTCCAACCAGTCAGGCTCAGCCCTTCTGCAGCCGAACGGCTGGACCAGCAGACGGGGAGAAAGGGCTTCGCACCGAGGTCCAAGAAGTGGGCTTTGCTGCCTCTCCCAAGTGGGCCAACGAGCCATCCCAGCGGTCTCCAAGCTGGGCCACTTTTAAGACGGGTGGACTCCAAGCCCCGCTGGCTGGGGAATTCTGGGAGTTGAAGTCCACCAGTCTTCAAGTGGCCCGGCTTGGAGACCCCTGAACTATTTCATGGAGGAGCCAACAGGGAAAATCTGAGACAGACGAGAGATGGACCCCGTCCTCTCTGGCCACAAATCCCCACATTTGGGGGGGGTCTCTAGGTGGTTTGTGGGCAGCTGCTTCAGGGAGGGGCGGCTGCCCTGCTGTTTGGCTTGAGGGAAGCTGAAAGTCACATAAAACGGGGGGGGGGGATGTAATATTCCTCTAATTATGGCTGTGAATTATTTGCCACATGGTGAGTGGGATCCTTGGCACAAATGCAGGCAGAAGGCAGCGGCGTCTAGGGGCCAGGGCTTTGGCAGGGGGGGAAATCAGAAAAAGCCAAGATGGCAGCCACTGAACCCTTTCAAAGGAAAGAAGGGGGCTCCAGCTGCATGGGCTGGCCGCCATGTTGACTTTTTTGACCCAACGAGGCTGGGCAAAACCTCAGAGAGCCTTCCCCAGAGTTCCGTTCTTTTCATTAAAAACAGGAGTCTGGGGTTTTTAAAACACAGTTCTTGTTTCCTGTCGGGCGTATTTTAATCCCTTTTGTCTGTCAGAGGAAAAGGCTTCCCATCCCGGCTGAGAAATCGGATTTTAAAAAATGGATCGGCAAAAAATAGAGAGGAGGGCACATACAGCCGAACGAGCAAGAGAGGAAAGGAGACAAAATGGGGGGGGGGGTGAAACGGGGGTCCGGGACACCCCACAGGGGTGTTTCTTGTAAATGTTTCCCTTTGAAAGTGTAAATTGTTCCCTTGAAAGCAGGAGGGTCCCGCCTTGGCCACTCGAAGGCTTGTGGACTTCAACTCCCAGAATCCCCCAGGCTGTATGGAGAATTCTGGGAATTGGTCCACAAGCCTTCCAGTGGCCAAGGCGGACAGCCCTGCATTAGAGCTTCATTGACAAGGTGCTTCTAGGAACCCGGAAGTGCTGACGGGCCCCTGGCCTTGGCCTTCCTGGAAGGCTCTCTGGGGTTCTGAGCTTCCAGTTCCAGGAGCAGTCTTCCCCAAGTGAGCCAGGCTCCTCCAAAGAGGGGCCACCACCAAGCAGTCCCGGGAGGTGACCAGGCCCCGCAAGCTGCACGCCACCAATCCTCCCGCAGCAACGCTGGTTCCCTGGAGCCACTCCACCCCTTCCTCGCGGCAGCTGGGCACAGGCCCCGCCCTGCCAAGCCCCCCCTCCGCCCACCCGGGGCCACCAGGCGGCTTGCGGCCCCTCACAAGTGGTGGCTGCTGCTGATGAGGGTGCGCAGCTGCTTGGCCACCGTCTCGATCAGCTTCTGCTTGTCCCTCTCGTTCTTCCGGAACTGGGCGAAGACATTGTTCTTGCGGCTGGTGTCCTTCATCCTGAAGCAGGGGAGGGGGAACACTCCGTCAGACAGAAGAACACACACACACACACAAACACATAAAGACGCAGACACACACCCTGAAGACAGCAACACAGGGGCTCCTGAGCGGTGGAGACTCTCCTTGGGGAGAGCTGGGGCAAAAGGGGCCAGGGGTCTCCCCACCAGAAGCTGAGGTCACCCCACTTGGAGAGGCGTCTGGTGCGGAACGACCTTAATTGTGCAAATGACAACTGTGTCATCCCATACACAACTTGAAGCTACATCTCTCCACCTGGACTGCTTGAAGATGGTGGACGGCAACTCCCAGAATCCCCCAGCCAGGCAGACAGGAAATGAAGAGGGGAGGAAGTAGGAGAGGTTGGCGTGCCCACCATTTGCACGATGGGCAGAAGGAACATCCTGAAGGTGGCAGGGGTCTTCGAGCGTGCAACGAGGACGCCCCACATGCTCAGTCGGTGCCCAGGACACTGTGGGGCTCAAGGCCCAGCAGCGGAAGGCGGAAGGGAGACCCCAGGTGACCGAAAGGAGCTCTGGAGATCAAGGAGCCAGGGGAAGGGGCAACACGGGCTTCCTTCTAACCTCTGAGAGGGGTGGGCAGAAGAGGAGGAGGAAGAGGAGGAGGGGGGAGCTGGCTGGCTGAGATGCCTCTCTAGGGCCCTGGCCTAGCCAGCGAGGTGGAGATAAGCGAAGGGACTGGCCAGCGTCTTCTGCAGCCCGGTCCAGCCACAGAGCCCGTCCCAAGGCAGGGGAAGATGCGGCTCTGGAGGTCTCGCAGGGGCTGTCTGGGCCTTTTCCGTGCCCCTCTTGCAGGACGGCCCTTCCTGATGCAAGGCCAACGTGGCTACACCGCCAAAGGCGCAGGAAACGCTGCCCCCTTCCCACCAAAGTGGGACCTATTGTTCTACTCGCGCTTGCATGCTTTCAACCTGCCAAGTGGGCAGGAACTGGGGCGAGGAACGAGAGCCCATCCCCTTGCATGGAACGTGGTCTCGGACGTGGGCTGCCAGCTCTCCAGCTGACAAGCTCAGCGGCTTTGACCACCGAGTCGTCGCGTCCCAAAGTGGGTCAACGCAATGGCCTTCGGCCTCTGGACTGAGGGTGACCACCAGCAGCCAGGGAACCCAGCCCGAACACTACGATTTGCAGGGCTTGACCAGAATCAACCCCTCGCCGGCTCGGTTAGGGTCCACGCCAGAAACAACAAGGAGAAAGGAGGGGTCCAAACTCTCAGCCCCAACCGCCCCGTCCACAAAGAGTGACCGCCAGCCCAGCAGCAGCCTTTAGAGAACGGCTCAATGTCTGTGGAGCTTCTCCGTCATCGGGTCCCGCTTGTCCAGAGGGTGCTTTTTCCGAAAGGCAACTGGACTTTATTGGGGGTTTTTTACTTTGAAAACCTTTCGCTTCTCATCCCAGAAGCTTCTTCAGTTCTGACCGAAGTTCTGACTCTAACGAGTTAGAACTGAAGAAGCTTCTTGGAGGAGAAGCGAAAGGTTTTCAAAGTAAAAACCCAATAAAGTCCAGTTGCCTTTCAGAAAAGCACCTCTGTGACCTACGAGGACTGGGAGGGTCAGGTTCCAGGACGGGGCCTGGGCGCCCTTTGCACTGCACAGGCTAAGCAGGCCAGCCAAGCCACCCCACCCATACTTACTCTCGGGAGATCCTGTGGGGAGGAGGGAGGGGCAGGGAGAGGAGGGAGAGACAAACCAAGAGAAGTTAAGCAGCGGCTGGCACAGCGGACTGTCCCACTTCCCGGCCCTCCGACTCCCACCGAGGCGCCATGCAAGCCCTCCAGCATGGGGGCAAAGGGGGCAGCAGCCGGGCCGACCTTGGCAGGTTCCCCTGAGGACCACAGGGAGCTTGGAGCGTGGCCGAAGAGGGGGAGCCCTTTGGTGGCTCCAGGTTGTTGCCCTCAGCCCCACAGTCCCCAATCTGGCCCCCAAAGAGCCCCAATGGCCGTCCAGCCCAGCAGCCAAGCCAAGGCGGCACATGCAAGCACCTTTGCCAGCTCAACCCCGTCTGCCCCCCAGCTCTGCTGCTGCAGGATAAGTGCCAGACAAGGGTCTTGTCTGACCCAGGGACTGCAGAGTGTGTGTGTGTGTATTGTCACCTTCTCCCAGGGGCCAGACGGAGAGGACCAGCAGAGCCCCAAAGAAAAGGCCTCCAATCCACTCGCACTCAGGACCTCCATGTGGTCCGCACCCCATCTTCTCCTTCATCCTCCAAGGAGGGCCTCTTCCCCACCGCTCCATGAAGCAACTAGGGAGGGCCTACATACAGCCTTCCACATTTGTTTCCTCCTTCCTGTGTCCCTCGTTTCCCAAGGTCTAAGCCAGGGGTAGGCAACCTCGGCTCTTTTATGACTGGTGGACTTCAACTCCCAGAATTCCTGAGCCAGCCTGGCTCAGCTTGGAAACCTCTCCCTTTCCCCTCAGCATGGCTGGCTCAGGAATTCTGGGAGTTGAAGTGCACGAGTCATAAAAGACCCAAAGTTGCCTACCTCTGGCCTAGGCCACTTTATGACTCGTGGACTTCAACTCCCAGAATTCCTGAGCCAGCCATGCTGAGGGGAAAGAGAGGTTTCCAAGCTGAGCCATCCTGGTTCAGGAATTCTGGGAGTTGAAGTCCACAACTCATAAAGCGGCCTAGGCCTAGGCCAGGGTAGGCAACCTTGGCTCTTTTAAGACTCATTGCCTTCAACTCCCAGAATTCCTGAGCCAGCCTGGCTCAGCTTGGAACCTCTCCCTTTCCCCTCAGCATGGCTGGCTCAGGAATTCTGGGAGTTGAAGTCCACAAGTCATAAAAGAGCCAAGGTTGCCTACCCCTGGCCTAGGCCTAGGCCGCTTTATGACTTGTGGACTTCAACTCCCGGAATTCCTGAGCCAGCATGAGAGAAACCTTGGCCCCTTCATGGCTTGCGGACTTCAACTCCCAGAATTCCTGAGCCAACATGGGGAACTGCGGCCTCTTTATGACGTGGACTTCAACTCCCAGAATTCCTGAGCCAGCCTGGCTCAGCTTGGAAACCTCTCCCTTTCCCCTCAGCATGGCTGGCTCAGGAATTCTGGGAGTTGAAGTCCACCAGTCATAAAAGAGCCAAGGTTGCCCACCCCTGGTCTAAGCCACCTGCTGAGCAGAGTGACCCAGATCGCCCAGGAGATTTCAGTCAGATGGACTCCGGGATGGGACCTTCCTCAGAGTGAGCCTGACACACAAGGCCTCTGGCCAAAAAGGTACGGTAAGAAAGAGAGGAGGACTGTGCAATTGAGGGAGACTATAGTGAAGGCCTTGGGCCCTGGGGATTGGCTGTTATGCAAAAGCTCCTGCTAGCAGCACCCTCTCCACAGCAGATGAAGTGCTTGCGCAAGTACAGATGAGGCAAAACGCGTCTCAAAAGCAGCCACTGTCAGAGGGACCTTGGCGTCCTCGTGGACGATCACTTAAACACGAGCCAGCCGTGTGTGGCAGCAGCTGCCAAAAAAAGCCAATGCCATCCTGGGTTGTAGAAGCAGAAGCACAGAATCAAAATCCTGTGAAGCATCAGTACCTCTTTGTAAAGCCTTGGTAAGGCCACGCCTGGAAGGCTGCATCCAGTTTTGGTCACATTACAGAAAAGAGGCTGAGATTTTGGGAAAAGGGCAGAGAAAGAAGGACTGGTGGGGGGGAGACATGATAGCAATCTTTCAGTATCTCAGGGGCTGCCACAAAGGAGATGGGGGGGGTGTCAGATTATTCTCCAAAGCACCAGAAGGCCGGACAAAAAGCAACGGATGGAAACTGACCAAAGAGAGAAGCAATCTGGAATTAAGGAGAAACTTCCTAACAGTGAGGACAATGAACCAGTGGAACGGCTTGCCACCAGAAGTTGTGGGTGCTCCATCACGGGAGGTGTTTAAGAGGAGACTGGACAACTGTTTGTCTGAAATGGTCTAGGGCAGTGTTTCTCAACCTTGACCATTTTAAGGCATGTGGACTTCAACTTCCAGAATTCCACAGCCAGCATTGCTGGCTGTGGAATTCTGGGAGTTGAAGTCCACATGCCTTAAAATGGTCAAGGTTGAGAAACACTGGTCTAGCGTCTCCTGCCTGAGCAGGCCGTTGGACTAGAAGACCTCCAGCTCTACTCCAATGGATTGATTGAATCCCAGGCATTTTACTCCCATTGGCCAGTCCAGGTGCATTAGACCCTCCCTGTCCTGGAGACTCGAACAGCGACAACCACAACCCGGCACCACATGCAGCATCGCCATCAGCAGAAGCTCTTGCGCCAGGCTGGGCCCGTCACGCAGCAGGCCGCAGTCCCCCCACCCCCGCCCCAGGCGGCCTGGGCAAAGCAGCAGCAAGCAGGGGGCTCTCAGGCAGAGCGGGGGGGGGGGGAGAGCACCCGTGGGCACACTCACTTTTCCAGTAAGGCCAGCGCGGTTGTCGGGGTCACCCGAAGGTACTTGCAGGTGGGCTGCCCGTAGTCGGCCAGGTACGTCGACCAGTCCCATTGGAGAAAGAGATCCAGCAGCTGAAAGAGGGAAAAGAGAGCGCTGGGTAAAGCTTCGGGTGGCTTGCCGGTCGAGATGCTATCTTTCAAAACCTGTAAAAGAGGCCTGTGGACCCTCTCCCCCCCCCCAGGGCCTCTGGGAGTGAGGGCGGAGTGAAGGCATCCCTCTTGGGCTTCAAGCCCAGCCTCACCTGAGTCTTAAAAAGAGTTTTTGTTGAGGGCCAACACTGTCCAATGGACATTTTAAGAAGAGATTGGACAGCCATTTGTCCGAAATGGTATAGGGTTTCCTGCCTGAGCAGGGGGTTGGACTAGATGACCTCCAAGGTCCCTTCCAACTTTATAATAACAATAATAACAATAACAACAAAAAAACAATAATGATAATAATCTTGGTAAGCTGTTGCAAGAAGATCGCACAGACTGACTACAAGCAGCGGCATGACAAAGTAGCAACAATGGTGCATTGGAAGATCTGCAAAAAAATATCATTTGCCTGTAAGCAAAAACCGGTGGGATCATAAAATAGAGAAAGTCAGAGAAAATGATAAAATTAAACTGCTCTGGGACTTCAGAATTCAAACAGACAAGCACCTGCAACATAACACCCCAGACTTAACAATTGTCGATAAGAAAGACAAAAAAGTCTGGATAGTGGACATGGCAGTGCCTGGAGACATCAGAATAGACGAGAAAGAACTGGAGAAGATAACAAAATACAAAGACCTACAAATAGAAATAGAAAGATTGTGGCAAAAGCAAGCAAGGGTAGTACCAATAGTAATAGGCTCCTTGGGTGCAATCCCAAAACAACTGGAGCACCACTTGAACACCATTGGCATTGACAAATTCGCTATTAGTCAATTGCAAAAGGCGGCCTTATTAGGAACTGCTTCCATCCTGCGACGAGATCTGTAAAACCATCAAACATCCACATCTGCCTATTCCAGGTCCTGGGTAAGGACTCGATAGGTAGACAAAATGCCAAATCCAGTCTGAACATCTGGCTGACTGTGCGATGATCCATAATAATAATAATTACATCCCAAAGGTGTTTTTCCAAAAGGCAACTGGATTTTAGCACTAGCACTAGCACTTAGACTTATATACCGCTTCACAGCCCTCTCTTCTAAACGGTTTTACAGTCAGCCTGTTTGCCTCCAACCATCTGGGTCCTCATTTTATTGACCTCAGAAGTCTGGAAGGCTGAGTCGACCTTGAACTGGTCAGGATCGAGCTGCTGGCAGTGGGCAGAATCAGCCTGCAAGGCTGCATTCTCTCCCCTGTGCCACCAGGGCTCTTTTTCTTCAGTTTTTTTGTTTTTCCTGAAAATGTTTTGCTTCTCATCCACGAAGCTTCTTCAGCTCTTCAAGGCTTGGTTGGTAGACCGAAGAAGCTTCTTGGAGGAGATTTTTAAGAAGAGACTGGTCAGTCACTTGTCTGAAATGGTCTAGCTTTTCCTGCCTGAGCAGGGGGTTCGACTAGAAGACCTCCAAGGTCCCTTTCCAACTCTGCTATTTTGTATCAGGACTAAAGGAGACAGGATAGCAGTCTTCCAATATTTGAGGGGCTGCCCCAAAGAAGAAGCAGTCAAGCTATCCTCCAAAGCGCCTGAAGGCGGAACACGAAGCAACGGATGGAAATTGATGAGGGAGAGAAGCAACCTGGAACTAAGGAGAAACTTCCCGTCAGTGAGGACAATTAACCAGTGGAACGGCTTGCCACCAGAAGTTGTGGGTGCTTCAACGCTGGAAGCTTTTAAGCAGAGACTGGAGAGCCACTTGTCTGGAATGGGATAGGGTCTCCTGCCTGAGCAGGGGGCTGGACTAGAAGACCTCCAAGGTCCCTTCGTTATTCCCTTGTTCTGTATTCTGAGAGCGGAGCCCGGTCCCTGCCAGCAAAGGCCAGCGGTCCCTGCCAGCAAAGGCCAGCTGACAGGCCAGGTGATGGATGGCCGGCAGCCCTGCCCTCCCTTGGCCCATCCATCTTGTGGACACGCGGCTGGGCCGGCTGGGCTCTGGGGCTGGGCTCCCCCTCCCTCCCTCCCTCCCTTGGAGGCCGAGTTTCTCCGCACGTGGAGAGCGGCTGCAAACACACAACCGGGCTGGGAGGCCTGACAAGGGCAGGAGAATTTATGTGGCCCAGAAACCGGGATTTTCTTGGTTTTCCCCCTTCAACTTTTCACCTCCTAAATCGGGAGGAGAGAGGGGAAGGGGGGGGGGTCTTTGCTGAGGACCATTTGTGGCTCTTGCAGCGACTGGGCCACTATCTGCTGGGGCAGATTATGCAAATGCCATTAATTCCTCCAGCCGGAGAGCTGGCTCTGCGGGGCCATCCATCACCCCAGGACAGCATGCACACACATACACACACACAGAGAGACACGCACGCGCGTGTGCACACACACACACACCCTTGTCGGGAAGGAGCCCCAGTCAACGGGCTTGGCCGGGGAGGGAAGCCTGGCCTGCAGCACGGAGGACGGCAGCCCCCCCCCAGGGGCACAAGGGGGGACATGGGAGGGGGGCTGGGGGCCTGGGGGCTTCTCAAGGAAAGGGGGGGCTGAGCTGGGGGAGCCTGGGAGAGCCGGTGTCTCCCCACCTTCCACTCGTGTCTCGGAGGAGAAGCTCCCAAGTCTGTCCCTCCCTCCCTCCCCTGCCCCATGGCTGGCTCAGACATCACCTGCCCCCCCCCCACCACCACCGGGATGAAGCTCCCAAGTTCTTTCTGTCCCCCCCCCCAACCTCCCTGCCAGGACTCGCCTGCAATGTGGACGGGCTTTGGGGAAAGAGACCTGGAGAAGGCATCGGGGTGGGGGGAGGGGGGGACCAAGCTATAAGCAGAGTGTCTTTCTTTCTTTCTTTCTTTCTCTTTCTCTTTCCTTTTTTCTTTTTCTTCCTTCCTTCCTTCTCTTTTCTTTCTTTTTCATTTCCTTCCTTCCCTTTCTTTTTTTCTCTCTCTCTCTCCCTCCCTCCCTCTTTTCTTTCTCTCCCTTCCCTCCCCCCCCTCTCTCCTTCCATCTTTTGAACACGTATCTCAGGAGCTGGAACCACTGACCGCAGGGGAGCCTCGCCCAGCTTCTGAAAGGAAATCTGTTTACCGAGAGCAGCGAACCGGAGATGACAAGACTTCAGCCAGGGGTGTCCGGCTTTGACAAACTGGAGGCCCTGGGACTGCAACTCCCAGAATTCCCCAGCCAGCAAAGCAGCAGCTGGAATCCCGAGGGCGAAAAGTTCCTCTGGCTGAATTGCAGAGGAAAAGAGAAGCCAAATCGCAGCCGGTTTCCGGGGGGGGGGGAGATGTCATCCTTGAACTTTGAACTTCGTCCTTGACCCTCCTCTGAAAAAGCTGCAGCCCTGACCCTCGCAGGGTGCCCAGCATCCCAGTTTTAGGCAGGGCGGAGTCTGCAGACAGACAGGACCGTTTTATGGATCACCCAGGATTATAAAAGCCAAACCAAGCAAACGGCAGCACTTGCTCTGCTTGCCAAGGAGAACTAATAATTAAAGCTTCGCTCCCCTGCAGGCAGCAGGAATTCTAAAGGAAAATCACATCACAAAAGCAATTAGCAGAAAGGGGGGGGGGGAATCCACCTGTAAGAGAGGAAGGAGGAAGCTGCTGGGAATAATGGCCATTCCTGCTTTGGGAGACAAGCTCCCATCTTCCACCTCCCACTCTATAACTCAGTGTTTCCCAAACTGGACAATTTTAAGGCATGTGGACTTCAACTCCCAGAATTCCACAGCCAGCGTTGCTGGCTGTGGAATTCTGGGAGTTGAAGTCCTCATGCCTTAAAATTGTCAAGTTTGGGAAACACTGCTATAATTCAACCACACTCAACGGAAACAACGGACAGAGACTAAGCGGGGAGAGAAGCAACCTGGAACGAAGGAGAAACGTCCTAACAGTGAGAGCAATCAAATCAATGGGATAGCATCCCCCCCCCCCCCAGAAGCTGTGGGCGCTCCATCACGGGAGCTCTTTGAGGAGAGACCGGACAGCCGCTTGTCTGAAATGGCAGAGGGTCTCCTGCTCAAGCAGGGGGCTGGACTAGAAGACCTCCGAGGTCCCTCCCAACTCTGCTCTTCTATCATTCGGGCCCTGCTCCTCAGCGGCCCTCGCTCCCGGGGAGAAGCAGCTTTCAGAGGTTGCAGCAGCTTCTCAGCCTCCCTGTAAGGATGGCTCTTGCGCTGCTCCTTGGTCAAGAGGTGGAAGGAGGAAGAAAGCAGAGGAGAGGGAGAGGGAGAGAGGGAGAGAGAGAGAGAGAGAGAGAGAAAGAGAGAAAGAAAGAAAAAGACAGAGACAGAGACAGAACCAGAGAGAGGGAGAGAATGAGAGAGAACGAAAGAGAAAAAAGAGAGAGAGCAAGAATCAGAGAGAGAATGAAGGAAAGAACAAGAGTAAGAGAAAAAAGAGAACGAGAGGGAGAGAACAAGAGAAAAAAGAGAGGAATGGAGGGAGGGAGGGAGGGAGAGAGAGAGAGAAAGAAAAAGACAGAGGAATGAGAGAGAACGAAAGAGAAAAAACAGAGAGAGCAAGAATGAAAGAGAGAATGAAGGAAAGAACAAGAGAAAGACAGAGAGAGGAATGAGAGAACAAGAGAAAAAGAGAGGGAGAGAGAGAATGAGAGAGAAAAAGAGAAAGAGAAAGAAAAAGACAGAGAGAGGAATGAGACAGAACGAAAGAGAAAAAAGAGAGAGAGCAAGAATGAGAGAGAGAATGAAGGAAAGAACAAGAGAAAGAGAAAAAGACAGAGAGAGGAATGAGACAGAACGAAAGAGAAAAAAGAGAGAGAGCGAACAAGAGAAAGAGAAAAAAGAGAACGAGAGGGAGAGAACGAGAGGGAGAGAACAAGAGAGAGAGAGAGAGAGAGAGAGACTGGCTTGCCCAGGGTTGCTGAACCGTGGCCACTTCAAGACAAGTGGACTTCAACTCCCAGAATTCCCCATCCAGAATGCTGGGAGGCGAAGCCCACACGACTTCCAGATGCCACAGCTGAGAAGCACTGGGTTAATCTTTGG